CTAGCCAGGTCAGCCGTAATCCCTCTCATGGCCTCCTGGAAACCAATTGAATCCAGTAGCCTTCGAGGGCGGACCATGGAAATAGGACCTTGCTCCCTGCAGGGGGGGAGGACCACTGTGAGGTTACATTTAATCAGGTGGTGATCTGACCATGACAAGCGGACTGACACCAGGTCCGTCACCATCAGACCACTCTCGCCCCAATTGGAGGAAAAGACCAGGTCCAGAGTGTGACCACCCACGTGGGTGGGGCTGTTGACATGCTGGGACATGTTCAAGGAAGCCATGGTTTCCAAGAACTCAAAAGCTGGCCCGGTAACCTCTGCCTCCGCATGCACGTTGAAATCACCCAAGGCCAGAAGCCTCGGGGAACCCAACAGTGCCGCGGAGACAAAGTCGGCCAGCTCCGGAAGGGAAGTGGCTGGGCCACAGGGGGCACGGTAGCCCAGCAAAATCCCAATTCCATCCCTGGCCCCTATCGACACGTGGAGCGCCTCTAGACCGGCCTTACCACCGAGAAGCGCCTGGTAACCTCCAAGCTGGATTTATAAACAATGGCTACTCCCCCTCCCTGTCCTTCCAAGTCTACCCTGGTGCTGGACATCATAACCGGGCGGCAGATGAGGGCCAGGGGGGGAACCACCCTCCCCATTGAGCCACGTCTCGGTTATGCATGCCAGGTCTGCATCCTCCTCCAGGATAAGATCTTGAATCAACTGGGGCTTATTGGATACAGACCTGGCATTCAACAGCACCAGGGTTAGAGTGGAAGGCTGGCTGAACTGGTTTACTTTGAAAAAAATGACTGATTTACGGTCATAGACCTCAAAGATGCTTACTTTTTGTCCTTTTCAACAGATTGAGTGATTACGGTGATCAGCGTGTTTTTTGTTGTGGGTGTATTGTTGTGATAAGGGGGAGAGATGATCTGTCACTGTGATTGATGGGTGTCGTTCGCTGGTCCTTTGTGTGTAGTGATCACTGGTCCTTGTGGCTGGATAGAGTTTGTTGACCTTTTGCAGGCTGTGTTTTTCAGTGCTGGGAGACAGGCTTTGTTGAGTTTAGACTTTCTTCTTTTTTGTTGAAGCTCTACTGGTGTTTATGGATTTCAATGGCTTCCCTGTGCAGTCTAACTTAATGATTGCTGGTGTTGTCCAGTACTTCTGTCTTTTGACATAGAATTTCATGTCCACCTTGTTTCAGGACATGTTCAGCTACTGCCGATTTTTCCCTACAACATCCATCTTTCACAGTGACAGATCATCTCTCCCCCTTATCACAACAATACATCCACAACAAAAAACACGCTGATCATTGTAATCACCCAATCTCCTGAAAAGGACAAAAAGCTGATATCACAGCTATAAATACTCAACTATCCTACAAACTGAACCAGAATACAGAGTTCTGACTCCTGTCCTCTGAAGATGCCGGCCACAGAGAGTGGCGAAACGTTAGGAAGAAAAACCTCAAGAACACGGCCAGACAGCCAGAAAAACCTACAACAACCAGTGGGAATTGTAGCCACAAGAAAATGGAGACTGTCAGGTTCTGTGATATTAAAGGCAATGGAATGTGTTAGCCTGTGAGACAGTTTTCCAGACTGCTGGTACAGAGAGAGCCTGAGATAAGCAGAAGGCCACAGAGAGAGGCCTGAGAAGAGCAAACACACATACTGGCTAATTGGAAGCAAGATGTGGACCTGTGAACTTCATGAGAATTATGGGTCAAGAGTTGTGTTGAGCCTTCTTTTAATTAATTGGTTAGCAGCAGAAGAAATGTCATGGAGAAGGAGGGCCAAGACATGTAGAAAAATGGATGTTTTGCATATGTTCTTTATTAGTTCATGACATGTGATGGAATGTTTGCAGAATGTAGCAAGGGAAAACAGTTTGTCTTTATAAAACCAGAAGGAGGTGGGGGATTAGCCCAGGTTAGAAGCAAGAAGCAAGATGTTTTTAGTGTTTCTTATTTTAATAAGAAATGTCAGCTTTATTTAACCATTGTGACTTTTGGATATGTTTATGCTAACGCTTTTGCCAACAACTGTTTCTATGAAACTTTATTTTCTTAATAAAAACAAATATAATCTTATTTGGTCTCTTGAACAGCAAGGTTTACATCTAAATCTAGTGGTGATTTGATAACAGGTCCAACATTGCAGAGCGTTTGTGTTATCTAAGGAAACACAAAGTTCGTGCTTAAATGCTTTGAAAGTAAATAAAGATTTCTTTTAAGGTCAGGCTTGTCCATGGGGCTTATGCTATGTATTTCTGAGGCCTAGAGGACCAACCTGAGAGATAAAGGTGGTAGATTTGCGCCCACAGTGACTCCTTGTCCAAACCTCATACTCTCTTTAGGGAGAGGTGAGTGTGACAATTAAATTTTTCCTATCATTTATACTTGTTAGCTGCTTTGTTGTTACATGCCATCAAGTCAGAACCAAGAAAGAATCCTAATAGGGCTTTCAAATTAAATGAGTTATTTAAGGAGTGGTTTTACCAGTTCCACTCCCCCAGTGAGCTTCAGTGGCTGAGCAGGGATTCAAACGTAGGCCTCCTGAGCCCATCACTCTATCCACTACACCAGTGGTCCCCAACCTTTTTAATGCCAGGGACCAGTTTTGTTGAAGACCATTCTTCCAAGGACTAGGGGGGCTGCCGCCACCGCCGTCCATGAATGGGGGGGCATGGGGGTCGTCCGTGCATGGACTGTTGCAGTCTAAAATATTAACTGTCCCAAATTTTGCTCTCTTTGTCTGTCTGTCTCCCTCTCTCTGTATATCTCTCTCTATATACAGTGGACCCTTGACTTACAGACGGCTTGACTTACAGACTTTTTGAGTTACAGACTTCTCTGGCCGCAAAATTTAGGTTTGACTTGCAGCCTGAGAATTGACTTACAGACCAGAAAAAAACCAAAATGGAACAAAAACGGCCTGTTACGGGATTAATCGGTTTTCAACGCACTGTAGGTCAATGGAGACTTGACCTACAGACTTTTCGACTTGAGAACCGCCTTCCAATACGGATTAAGTTCTCAAGTCAAGACCCCACTGTATATCTCTCTATCATCCCTCCCCCCCTCTCTCACTATTGTATATATACATCTTTCTCTCTTTTTTCCCTCCCTCCCTTTCTCTCTATCTCTCTATCTGTCTATCTCTCTCTCTCTATCTCTCTCTCTCTCTATATATATATATATATAACTCTCTCTATATATATCTTTTTCTCTTTTTCTGTTTCTCTCTCTCCCCCATCTCTCTATCTCCATCTCTCTCTATCTCTCTCTTTCTCTCTATCTCTATCTTATCTATTCAAAGACCTTGAGAAAGGACAATTCCACAGCGGTTCCCAGAAGAAAATAAGAAAGCTAACTATCCTAAGCCTCTGTCCTTACATTCAAGCAGATCTTCATCATGCTTCCAGAACATATTCAGAGTACAAACCAGATAGCAAGACAGGAGGTGAGCATCGTGTTCTCTTTAGAGAGACTAGGCTAAGCTAAGCAAACTTTCTTTTCATTTTATACTCATCATTCCACTTTCTGGACTGTTTGAGGATCACTCCAAACCTTCTTGAAGAGGAGAGTAACTTTTGTGCTCTCTCCTCCTCTCTTCTCTTTGGCTGAAACCAGTCTTGTTAATTAGCTCATATCAGGAATGGATTGTGGCCTTGTAAACTCCTTCTCATAGAGATAAGACACGGCAATTAATGGACAATTTCTCTTCCCCCCCCCCCAATCTCATCCCAATCACAAGCTTACAGGCCTGTATTTCAAAGGACAACTGAAACCATCACCCTTTCCCCATTTTCTAGTTTCTTGACAACATGTGATTCAGGGAACATGTCAGCCCAGTCCCCTCTGGCCTCCTCTTCAACAAGCAAAACTCACATGGAGAGTCTCCTGTGTTCACATAGGCTCCCCTCAAAAGCCAGGGCATGGAAAAATCATATTCTGACTCTAAAAATTGGATTCTGTCTGTGTCACATGTGGAGAATGCATGGCTGAACAGAGGTCTTGTTTCTTTGTTCCTGGTAAGTTACTTAAACGAGGCATATCCTTTAATTGCTGCAATGAATTTTCTAAATCTATTATCACTCTATAGTAATATGAAAGCACACTATTTCTCTTTTTATCTTGAGATGAAGGAGATCCTGTTCTTATTTTTCAGGCCCAGCGCTGGGGGAGATCGGGGAAGCAATGAAGGAGCTTTCTGAGGTTAAAGATTCTTTGGATATTGAAGTTAAACAGAATTTCATTGACCCCCTTCAAAACCTCCATGACAAAGACCTGAGGGAAATACAGGTATCACTACCTTTGATCATGAACTGTTGTGTCTTTATGCCAGCATAATACAGTGGAATACATTTTAGTGACAAATTGACACAAGAACTTAGCATAGGCATTTTCTGTTGTACAGAGTTATACAACTCTCTGCACAATAGCAAACCCCTATCTGCATATAGTAATTCTCCACCAAGATTTTCACCAGTCATGTTAGACAGAGAAGTATAGTTGCTCTGGATCTTGTTGCCATCTTCTTTGAACTGCCTAACTAAAGAGGACTCACTACATCACTGGGCCCTTGCATTGCTTCTTTTCAGTAGCTAGTCATGTGAGCCTTAACAAAGTAAGACAAATTTAACTCAGTGATATACTTACTGAGACATTGCAAGACAAAAAACAGCAAATGGAGCAGCTGCAATGCTGTTATTACTTATAACAATAAAGACCTCTAAATTGAACCTTCTATTACTTTTTTTAAAAGAGTAAAGCTTCCATAAAACATAAAACATTATTACACTACTCTGGTTGACTCAGATTGCTTTTTGTTTTTTTCCAATAACATGAAAACAGTGGCAACATCAAAAGGTACCATAAAGAAGAAGAGCAATTATTATGACTGAACATAATATATTTATAATACTGAATATAGTACTTTTACAGGAATTCTCCCTAAAGGAACATCTGGGGTTATTTGGAATAAATGTCTCAGGAAATCATGCACTGTAAAAAAAAATGCTGGTAGGATTAGAGAAATAGCACAGTGTGGTAAGGAACTCCACACATCTCTTTTTCTACGTTCTCTCAGGATTTGACCTAAATTAAAACTCAAAGTGAATTTGGAGCTTCTGCCTCAGGGAACACATTTGAGGATTTTTTTTTAATTTTATTTTTTTATATAAGGGATGACAGAAAGAAAAAGGGAATTGGATGAGGATGAGGGGAGACAATATTTCCATCCATTCTGTACCTATTGCCATATCAAGATTTTAAGTTATTCTATTTACTCTTTTCTGCCTTCTAGATTGAGTTCTCATTTCAATATTTGCTATTCATAAGGTGCCTGTCATTTGAGGAATTTTGACAGAAGCTAAATAAAACATGAAATATCTTGAGGAGAGACGGCAATTCACAAATCCTTTTGTCTATTTATTATTTATTAAAAGTATGTTATCACTCACTTTGTTGTCTGCCAAGACCATCAAATATATGGATTAAACAATACCATAGTACAATAAAATAACAGAATAAAAGCTGGAAGAAACTGTTCTTTAAAACAACATTTATGGGAATCAGACAGTCAATGAGACAGTGCTGCTTCTACCACTTGTCTAAAAGCTGGTAGGATTAGAGTCCACCGATGGCTCTTAGTTCTAGTTGCAGTGCTCCTGAGGCAGAAGAGGCTTGGTCACATGGACTCTTAACAATATGTAATCTGTAGAACATATATTTTATGCACATACTGTATATACGGGAAGTATTAGTTAAAACTGTGGCTCTATATACAAAATTAATGATGTGTAATGCATTATTTTGTTGACCCCTTATGTATTTGACAAAATAATATGCTTTGTCATATTAAATAATCCACTCAGCTGTCACTGCTAAAGTTTTGCTGATTCAGATGTCTGACATATAGGTCTGACTGGGCTGGCTGAATATATGTGCTCAGCATGCATGCTGAGAAACATTTGGTTGCTTATTTTAAAAGACATGTATTCTGTTCCTTATCCGACGATAAGAACTATTCTCAATAGCCATTATTAGCAATTCCAGTAAAATTCATAACATGGCCTCCATTCTTTTTTAAAGCACCACCTTAAAAAACTGGAGGGCAGGCGCCTGGACTTTGATTACAAGAAGAAAAGACAAGGCAAGATCGCAGATGAGGAACTCCGTCAAGCTCTGGAGAAATTTGATGAGTCAAAGGAAATTGCTGAGTCAAGCATGTTTAATTTGCTAGAGATGGATGTGAGCAAACCCCTTCTTTATGTCCTTTGAATATGTTGTAAGACTGACAGCTTTCATATCAGTTTAATCTATTTTTAAAAGACTAACAAAAACATAAGAACTGGATTTTGTATTCATGTTTCTTGATAGACTTTCATGAGTATATGTTCCAAGGTCAGGTCTTACGTGGACTTTGAACATCCTGCTAGAAAAATGAATTTGAATTGCTAGACTCCCAAAGGCAAGATTTGGTAGGGTGGAGTGGAGCGCAAATAGAGAGAGGCTGACTGGCTTCCAACAGTAAATTGCTCTGTTTTCTGTCAGCCTTTATGCAAATAGCAGTGTAGGATAACACTCTCTGGTAATCCTTGGACAGAATGTTGAGGATGAATCTGAGAGACATTTTGACAAATAGACTTATAGTTCAGCTGTGATTTTTTAAAATATGCTTTGCACACCACAGCTAGTTGGCTTGAGATCTAAATCCATGCAATGTGTTTAACAGTGACTGAGTAGCCTGAGGAGGCTACTCAAAATGAATTCAATAAGGAGATATTCTTATATGTCCTGAAGCTTTAGGCTAGGATATGCAGTCAATCAAGTTTAAACAAAACTGAATTCACCTGCTGAAGTAAAACCATAGCACTTACTTCAAATTCTTATTGCCTTCTGAAGCAGAATGGGTTCAAATACTTTCTAGATCAGAGTTTATTCTGTGCAGTCTCACGTTTCTTTTTGGAATAACAGTGATAAATTGTTTATTTCCGACTGAAAATGCTTTCCCGGTTCCCATGGAATAAAGTGTCCCAGGCTATAGTGTTTAACTCTGTTAAATATAGGATAAAAAGTTGAAATGGAAGGTTGGGCTATCTGCAAGTAGATTTGCTTCTGATAAAGCAGAATTTCATCCAGCTCATTTAAGTATCAAGCTAAGATCATATGTTGAAAAGTTAGTACTATTTTAGAGGAGTACTGATTACCTGATACAAGCCCAGTCAAGGATTTCACTTCGAATAAAGTGAGGATTATGTCAGATGTTTGGAAAAATACATTATCTTGGGTTATATGGAGTGCTGGAAGCCAATATACGTACATGGAGACAAGTGGTTTGTCTTCATGTAAATTGGCACATAACTAGCAGACATCAAAGCTGAATTGGGACCCATAGTACTGATTATAAGGAAGTTTCTCCTTATACGTCAAAAGGAGATGTATGGACTTTAAATATTGTCTTTCAATGTTGTAAGCCACCTTGTGTCCTTTTCAAGGAGCAAGATGGGATAAAATATTTAAAATAAAAATGTTAAATGTTATCTCATAGACATCATCCTATGTGTATACTCTTGTTTAGAAGTAAAGCAGTAGGTTGCTAGACCAAAACAAAATCCATCTAAATCAGTGGTTCCAAACCTTGGGTAACTCAGATGTTCTTGGACTGCAACTCCCAGAAACCCCAATCAGCACAGCTGGTGGTGAAAGCTTCTGGTAATTGCAGTCCAAGAACACCTGGATTACCCAAGCTTGGAAACCACTGATCTAAATCATTACTCCAGCAACCATCTGGTTCTCAAAAGTCTAGCAAATAACTGATCAGTGGGTCGGAGTCCAGCCTTCTCTGCCTCCTGGTAGACAAGCAGGCCATAATCTGTATGGTGAGGAGGAGATTGTAACATGAGTCAGATCTTATTTATATTCACTTTGGATACCTAGTTTAAAGCGGAAAGTTATTACCCTCTTCAGTGTTGAGATAAACCTTTCTCTTGTCAGATCGAACAGGTTAGCCAGCTCTCTGCCCTTGTACAAGCCCAGCTGGAATACCACAAGCAAGCTACACAGATCCTTCAACGAGTTAGCTCCAGGTTGGAAGAGAGGTAAACATTTGCCGCAGTTGTCTCTGCTTATTTATTGGTGGTGTCAAGCTGTAAAAATGGGAGAAGCATTCCCCTTCTGCACCAACTCCTGTGCCAGAGTTTAGGAAAAGGTTCTTTTTGGAATACAACTCCCAGAACCCCCCATACAACATTTGCCTGCAGTGGCCATGCTGGTTTGGAGATTCTGAAGGGTTACAGTAACTATTCCAAGTTCTGGGTACAATAAGGGTCTACAAGGGCAATCTGACATAGGATTAAAGCTTCCTAATTTACGTAACTATAGAACAGGATTGCTTTTCAGAATCTCTGGTTTCTTTCTGAAGAAAAGGTCTTTTCACAACCATGCTTCAAGGGAGAACTCCAAAAAGTAAATGACTGTAACTCTAGGGGATTAGGGTATAAGGTGCCCAGGTCAAACCTGTAAAGCTGAGCACTAAACTCTTTGTATGAGAGAACTGGAGATCTGATCTCTGCTCCCTTTCAGGTGAACCACTGTAAGGGAATATAGGTATCCAAGCCCTGCAGGATCAGGTGACTTGAACAGCCAATAAGATCCAATCTGGTAGCTAGCCTCTAGAGCTTGGGAAATGAATTTTAATAACAATGGAAAAGTTACTTTTTTGGATTATCAGAAAGCCTTAGCCAAACTGGCCATCTGGAGGGAATCCACTGGACAAAACTGATTTACATACTGTAGACCAGTATGTAAAGTGTCTTGTCGAAACTGTAGCATACTGTGGTTAGCATGACCTGCCTTGCCTTCTGAGTTTGGCTGCTGTGGACCAGAAAGACTTTTTATATATTGATTTGACTGAGTGGGCAAGATTTACTGAATAATTCCTGTCTCAGATCATGAAAGGCATCACTCATCTTCTGGCAGGATAAAAGATGCTTCATCTCAGCCCAGGAGAGAATATCAGCCAAAGCCACGCATGAGCTTGGACTTTACTAGCGACAACCCTCAGCATAATGGTGGGATCAGTAATGCCACCACTCCAAAGCGCACAGGTGAGAGGGATGGGAGTGGGCTGCAAAGGGAATCTAAGAGAGCAACTGCTGTAAGATTTGCTTTGGATGTTATGATGGAAGGGCACATTGAACTTTTCTGGAGGTGCCGCTTGTGGCAACCCCAGACCTACTGGAGTATGCCACACTATAATTATGCTGCCACCAACCATTCCCTATAAGGAGTCACACAGACCAGGAATGGATTTTTAACAAACAAAAGAACAAGGTTTATTTAAATAACAAACAGGGTAAATAAAAAGATCAAGTAAATAAGATACTGTAACGTGGCTTAGTCTCAATCATACATACAACAGTTTGGTTCACACAGAACACAAAGTAAAGCACAGACCCTGAACCTATCAGTTCTGGCTACCTATATAGAAACCTGAACCTATCAGGTAGGTACTAACTGACACACAGTTGTACTCAGTCTGACACACAGACTCCCAGTCCTCACTCCTCACACAAGCTCCAAATATATATACAGTACAGCTCCTCCCCCTGATGTCCCGCCTTCCACTCCCCATAGGATGGAACTTTCCCTCCAAACCCATGACAGACAGGTACCATCAGTGCTGTATGTAACACCTCCCCTCTTTATAAGTTGTTTTGCAGGGGAAAAGCTAAAGTGCTTTTCTCCAAAAAAACAACCAGGATCAAAACACACAAAAACAGATATACAATAACACAATCCCATACTTACACTCTAGGTTAAACATATCAATTAGGCATTTAAACATTAACATTTACAATACATTAAGTCACCTTTATTAATACAAACCAAGC